AGGAAAGTCTTTTTGGCCCTCAGAAATCCCTTTGGATATGGTTGGAGGATAGAAGCTGACCCTCTGACTCGTGCTTCCAATCAGTGCTAGCTCTTCAAGCCAACACAGTGGGCAGCTAATGGACAAGGTACTGAGGAGGAATCCTGTTTTATATATTTTACCTGTTATAGGTACAGAATTACATGGTTATTATATAGGGTGTTGTATGTGTGCATGAGTAGGTATGTAAGCAGGATGAATACATTGGTCCATATCAAACAGTAATCAAATTATAATAAATCAAATTGCAGAAAATCACAGCCTGCTCCCACGTAGTTCATGAACTGAAAAAGCCTAGAGTCATCAGATGAATGTGTTGGCTTTGCTTTTTTTCTGCTCTGTGTTTCTGGTATTATATGAACTGCTGAGTAGTATCTGTGTGCACTCCTCTACCTAGCTGGCAAAATGAGATTAAACTATGTGTCATAGACACCATGCTATTAAACAATAATGGTGATTCTCCTGCAGCACGTACCTTTTTAGCAGAACAGATGCCTCAGCTGTGAGTGGATTAAGAGTAGCTGGCTTCTGCTCCCAGTTTCTCTCTGAAGATCAGGCTGAGCCCAGCAGGGTGACTGAGTACAGCAGGGTGGTGCAAGGGCTTGCTCGTGGTGGGGTTTAACATCTTTGTGGTTCCGCATGCGTCAGGATGAGCTTATTCTTACAGCAAGGGAATGTGGTGAATTGTGTATGCTTAGCACTGAAAGTGGCCAAGTGGGGAATTTAAACTTCTTAGCTGTGTGTGATAGACCTAGCCAGGGAACAGCTGGTGGAGAGACTCTTTTAGCTCTAGGGGTAGCAGCTTGTGTACTTGGGGGTGCAATAGGATTAGATTGCAATTTCCATCCATTTCGAAATAACCTTGCTCAAGAGGGTCAGAAATCTGGAGATGTAGGAACCCATAGCTCCCTATTTGTTACATTATGTTCTAATTAAAAAAAAAAAAAAAAAGCTTTTGGAATCAAATTTGACCTACATATAACTCCATTGGCTCCTGCATTCTTACACTAGGGATTAATTTGGCCCTTTCTACTTTTATGTAATGAGCTGATTGCCACAGTATCTTATCCTTGTTATACAATCACCCTTGTCTGGCTGTGTCCCTGGGGCATTCTCTGTGCGTGTGTTTCTAGATCTAGGGTCTCACCTTCACTGACTGTGTGTTTAGTCCTAGAGCCTCACCCTGACTTACACGGATGTATTGTGTGTCTGTGCATGATCACTCCAACTTCAAACAGTGTGTACAGACAAGAATATATCTGTGAGAATTGAGGGGCTTTCTCCTTTGGCTGGCTATGTCCCTGTGGTGTTTGCTTCTGCAGGGGATAGGGAAAGATTGAATGGTATGATCAGAGATCTCATTTAAACAAGAAGGAGCATAGGAAAATACATTCTTTATTATTATTCTGTAACAACAAGCCAGAAATATAATATACCTTTAAAAATTTTCTGTCTCATGCCAAAGAAACCTCCATTCAATCATTTTAGAAAATCTTATCGCTCTCCCTCAAACAGTAACAAAAAAGAAAAAGGAATTACAAGTGCCATCTGTTCCCTGCAAGGGATGTGCCTACCTGTCCCACAGGTGGATGTGTGGGGAAGGGGAGCAGGGGGAGCAGGAGGGCTGTTCCTGTTGGCCCCAGAAAACCCTTTCCTGAGGCACCTGCGTGTGTCACTGGAGCAGCTGCCTGCAGCAGAGGGTGCATCCAGGGGGATCCCCCCGTGCCCAGCCACGCCTGCAGGGACAACAGGAGCTGCTGTCCCCACACAGCAGAGGAGCCCCTCGGCTGGGCACACAAGGAGCACTGGGTCTCGTTGTGTATCCAGCATCCCACAGAGCTTTGTTTCTGCCTGCTCGGGATGCCGTGCTCCCTGCAGTGCCTGTGGGCAGCTCAGTCACACCAGGCTTTGATTTCCAGGTGTGCTGGGGAGCAGAGAAGGAGCCTGTTTGCAAACAGTGCCATGAAGAGGGCACTTCCCAGTGAGCCCAGCTACTCGGCTCTGCATGCACAAGGACAGGTCCTCATCCTGCCAAACAGAGTATTTGCTTTCCAGAGGGACTCCTCATAGCCAGCCTTCGTGTTTCCCAGCAACACTCAGTTCTCCCCTTTCCTGTCTTCTCCTTTCCTGGGTGGGTTTCTAAACATAGCAGTCCCTTGTCTAGGGTTGAGATAAATCCAGACTTTCTGCTGTATAAATTAAAACAAAAAAGGAAAGGATGGGCAAGGTCATCACCAGCCCCACAACACAGGATATAGAAAATATTATTAGCAACAAAGAAAAATTGGTCAGGGCAGGAGGAAGTCACAGGGAAGGTGCAGGGAAAGGAGGATTTCACACCCTCAACCCCTGTATTGTCCCCTACCTTCTTCCCATTCATTTCACTTCTAGTCTATTCCCTTAAAAACAGTCTCTCCCTTATCTCTCTCTCACACACACACACCACACACACACACACACACACACACATATAGATCCCATTTGTTTTGTGCAATATGTCACCATTATTTGATGCAAGTAAAATATAGATCTATAAATATACCACTCTGACTCAAGTCCCATTTCAAGTATGATTGCGGAGTCCAGTATGGTAAAGGGAGAGGTTCCCCTGAGAGGGAGGTTGGGGAGAGGCTTGGATCCAGCAGGCAGAGTGTGGTCCTGGCTTGCTGGGAATGTGGAACAGCAATAACACACATACAGAGTCTGCAGTGCACCAGTTCTGCCCTTCAGAGCGGGCTCCACTTGGAGCAGATGGGATGGTTGGAGTGGCTGTACAGTGCATGGGGGAAGAGTCCTTCCTCCTCACATTTCACCAGCCCCCCTCCTTTCTTCCTCTTCCCCACACTGTGCTGGAAGCAGGGGGAAAATGTGTGCTCACACTGGTGGGCGGGCTGACTGCTTCTCCCAGTTCTTCCTCCGTGACAGCCTGGTCTTCTGCTTCCCTGAAGAACATCCTCCTCTGCCCCATGCATCCCCGTGTTGAAGGGAAGTCACACTAAAACAATCCAGAACACCCTGTCTCCTTGGCTCTGGGTAGACCAGGAGGTATTTTGCCACTCCAGGCTTTGATTAGTGATGTTGTGAGCCCACAGGTCAGTACAGCCACCTCTCTGGGACCAGAAGGAGTGAGGAGCCAGTGTGCATTGCTTCCACAGGGATCCAGTCACAGCGAGCAGGAGGGCTGTGAGATGTCCAACAGCACTGGGATTCAGATGGAGCAGGTGGAAGAGGTGATGTGCCCTGGCAGGGTCCACCTGCAGAGCACACAGGGCTCTGAACACAGGTTGCTAGTGAAACACCCTGCAAAGCTGGGCTAGCTGCCAGCTTGTTTCCTGATGGCAGGGATCACACCATCCACAGGCACATCCACGCGACCTCCGGTGTCATCTTCCTGGCCCAGGAATACCCACTGTGACGGGTTAGAGCAGGTTACCATGGCAATGTGTGCTCTCCCCTGGAGACAGCATTTTATCCCACTTCCAGTGATACAAAATGAATCCTTATGTTGAGTTCCTTTCTTTTTTTTTTCCTCTCTCACTTTTTTTTTTTCCCCTGTCAGGTCAGAATGAGCTAAGACTAATAGGAGGCACTGCAGTCTGAGGGCTTTAAAATCTGGTTGGGGGAAGTCACCCTGTGTGACAGTGGCAGTGTGCACGGCTGTGTGTGTGGCACACTCCGGTGCAGCTGTGGCTGTCATTGGACACCCCAGTGATGGTACAGGGAGTGCATGTGGGCTCTGCTGCCTTCTGTGCCAGACCCTTCCTGGGCTCTCCCACATGTGCCACACTGCTCCAGGTTCCAGCCTTCATCTCAAGACCCTCCATAACTCTTCCCACTCTTTTTGGTCACCCTGGCTGCATCACCCTGTTCCACACACAGTGCTGGCCCCCGTGCCAGCCATAGCAGCTCCTGGGTTGTGTGACTTCTTCCCCTGACACCTTCCCTAGGCTCACACTACTCAGCACAGCTTACGCTCCTGGTAAGCCACCTCCTCCTCTAGTCTTTCCTGATGACCCACTTCTCATCTGCCAATCAAACATTTCTAAATGGAGGCTTCATATCCTTACCCTCTCCATTTATTTGAGAAGACATAAAATAGATAAGAACACACCTTCTTTTTTTTTTTTTTTTTGATGCTGTGTACTTATTTCCACAGACTGGTGCTGAAATCCCAATAACTTTGCCTCTCTCCATCCTCTTCTGCCAGTTCCCACTGGCTCTGCACTATGGCTCAGATGTTTTTGTTACTCCTCAGTGGAGTGTGCATGTTTTTTGTCTGAAGCAGAAGGTGATACACACTACTATGATCAGGATAAGGTAAAGTGGCTGGATGTATCCATGGCTGCATGCAGAGGGCAGGTCAGCATGGGCATGAGTGATAGCTCTGCGTGTGCAGGTGGGGTGCCTGGATGCCTGGAACTGGGACTGGCTCTGTGTGCAAATGTTGGGATCAGAATGAGTCAGTGTGTGTGTGTGTATACAGGAGGATGACTCTGTGCCTGTGCACCTGCAGCAGATGATGTGTGTGTCAGCTCAAAGGTTTGGACTTGGCCAGGAGCAAACAGAGGGACACTGTGCTCCCTGGCAGTGTGTTAGGGTGATACAGATATCGTTCCACCTCTAAAAGTGAGAAGGGAAATCTACCACTCACTGTTGCCCTAGCATAGGGACCTTGCCTCCCTTCTGATGTAATCTTGGCAGCACTGATTTGTAGGGCAGGCAGCAGCTTCGTGTCACACAACAGCAGTGACCTAACAGTGAGATGTGGACATTTCTGGTGTCCTGCTCCCCACATAAGGTTTTCCACAGCTGCTCTCTGTTTGCAGAGAACTCTTGACAGGACACAGGATGACTCAGGACCGAAGCTGAGAGGATGACACAGGGTCCCAGAAGGTGCCAGCTGCCTTTGCAGCAGGCATGTGAGGGAAGCTCTGTGCAAGGGCATGAGGCACAGCAAGCACTCGAGGTCTGACTCTACTTTATTTGTCTGGGGGCCCAAGGGTGAAAGGGCACAAAATGGGCCTGGGGCAGAGGAAAAGAAATTGAGCCAGGTGCCCTGACCCCCCAGAAGCATGTTGTACTACTTGGGTGAGTGGAGCAATAGCACAGTCTGTCTGGGAAGATGTATTTTGGGAGGACCCCATGCTTGACTGCTCTCAGGTACCTTTTTTCATCGCTGTCCCTTCCTTCCTAGAACAGTTTCACGCCACAGAAGAGATTTGTTTTTGTTCTTCATGTTCACCTTCTGTGTCACCCATGAGTGGCTGCCTCTTCTTCAGCTCCCTGTGGTACTTGGCCATGAGGGAGGCATAGATGCAGCCATAGGCAGCTGCCACCACCATCATGATGCAAACGATGCCACAAACCACCCCTGCAATGATCACAGTGCCAATAGCCCGGCGCACGCTCACAGGCCTGTACCGCTGTTTCTGAGGGCATCCCACACTGGGCTCCACTTCTGTTTCTGGGCCTGATTTAGATTTGGAAGGAGCAGGGCTTCCTTTAGTGCAAGGTGGGCCAGTATTGTCCAGCACTGTAGAGCTGTTCTCGTCATCCAGCTGGGAGCAGTAGTTGAACATCTCCATGGGCACCATGCGCATGTCCTTTCCTTTCAGCTCCTTGGGCAAGGTGCAGGCCAGCTGGTCGATTTTCCCACCTGTTCCAACAGAGATAACTGGAATCAATCACAGCTCCATGCCCACACAGAGGCAGCAGGGTTAGGTCCTCAGCTGGGGTGAGCTCGTGGGCCTGCATTCACACCTGCTAAAGTATTTTCCCTGCAGAAGCTTCAACCGTGTCAGCTGGCCAGTATGCCTCTGCCTAGGGTGGGTTTGACATTAGAGCTCCTGGTGCATATCTGAATAGGCCAATACATGAAAGCCCTCTGAAACCATTTAACTCAGCCTCATATTGTTTAGTGAGTTATGTAAGTCTCAGAAGAACCACTTTAGAAAAAGAGAAATTAAAGCAAAAATATAGAACCAGGCTGTACCTTCTCAAAAAAACAACAGATACACATCCTGTCTTCTGACAACTAATCCATCTCTGTGAAAATAATGACAGATGTTGAAACAAATGCTTGAGTGAGTTTGAGCAATTTCTTTGGAAGGGAGGAAAAAAAGCAAAGTTATGTCTGCATGCTTTCCACTGACTTTTTGATATGGTAGTCAAGAAAAAAGAACAAATCAAAAAAAAGTGCCAAGTGGCACTCGTATGCTTGTTTGATTCTGCTCACACAAATGCATATTTCAGACTGCAGTGTAGCCATAGGCAGAGATAATCTCCTTGCAGCATGGCTGTGATCAGCAGGGATGTGACAGCTGACTGTTGCTATCCGCATGATTTGAGACCCTTTCCTACTCGTTGGTTCCAGAAACAGAAGGTCAGGCCTTCAGTCCTCACTCCTGTAAAATGTGCCATCTTTCTTGGAGTTGCAGCTCCTGAATGCATGTCATCCCATCAGCATTTCTGATAAGTGACATGTACCTTTCTAAGTCTTCTGTGTTTCAAGGAAAAGCTGGAAATGCAAACTTGTCAAAAACTGCTCCATTTGAAATGATTTCATAGCCAGTCTGACTGGGGGCCTGGCTTGTTAATTTGAGCTGTAGTTTGGGTTCTCCAATATGAGTTGCAGTGTTTTTCCTAACTGTCACTGTTTCCTAAGGTTCTTTTTTTTGGCAGCAAACCTGATGCTTTACAGCCAAATCTGACTTCTGATTCTCTCAGCTTAAGAAAGAGAATGGGATGGTTATCTCCAAGTGTGAAAAGCATTTCTTCTCTTTAGGCAGAAAGAGTAATGTAAATTCATAATCCTAAAATTTTAGTGTTACTTGAGGAAAGTTCTTTCTTCTCTCAAGATTAAAAAAAAAACAAAAAAACAGGTAATAGTTTAGATTAGAAACAAAACAAGGGAATAGGAGATCTAAGGCTGCTGGGGACTTCACAGACTGACAGTGTTGCTGTATGAAGGTGCAGTGGCACTGAATTGTAGCAGGGTCTCATGCTCTTTGGCTGAGACCTGTCCATCAGGTCCGCCTGACCTGCCAGTTGCATCTGCTCCTGTTTCTTCCCTGCCTGCCTTTTGCTTTTCCTGGAAGACCAGCACTCCTCCACCCGCCTCCCCTCCGCACGCGAGCACCCACCTCGGTAGGAGAACCACTCCATCCAGTGCTTGAAGTCTCGGAGATTGCAGTCGCATTCCCAGGGGTTATCCCCAACCTGGAGCTGCTGCAGGCTGGTTAGAGGCTCAAAGGTCACCCTGTCCAGGCTCTGCAGGCGGTTGGACCTGAGGGAGAGGGAGCGGAGAGCAGGCAGGTCGTCAAAGATGCCCGAGGGGATCTGGGCCAAGCCGTTGATGGAGAGATCCAGCTGGCGCAGCAGGGCCGTGTGCTGGAGCAGGTCCTTGTCCAAGGCCCGGATGCTGTTGTTCCTCAGCTGGAGCTCTGTGAGGTTCCCCAGGTCGCTGAAGATGTTCTGAGGGAGCTGGTCCAAGAAGTTGTTGGATAGATCCAACCTCTGCAGAGCGGAGAGGTTGGAAAACACTGCTCCTGGCAGGATGCTGAGTTTGTTGTTGAGAAAGAGGAAGGTCCTGGTGTTTGTGGGGATGTCTGAGGGAATGGAAGAGAGGCCCAAGCCACTACAGTCCACTTCCAGGTTGCCACTGTTACACTTGCAGGAGGAAGGGCAAGCAAAGAAGGAGTCAGCAGCACATAGTGAGAGCCAGCAGCCAAGCACTGGAAGGTGAAAAGCAGGGAAGGAAGAGGGCATGGATTAGATCAGTGCTTTCCAATGCTCACCCACCACCATCCACAACACGACCCTCTCACAGCAGGGCTCTTCACTGCAATGCCCTGCAGTGTAATGAGTTTCCTCACAGCTACATTCCTTTACCCCTGGCCTGCATCCTGACTTTCCTCTTAGCCTGTTTTTTTTTAGGAAAAAGCAAGTAAATATCCTTCCAGTTTCACAACAAAGACAGAACAGGGCATCCCAGCAGACTTTGCTGACAGATACTGGAGTATTGGTACCTGCCAGAGGAGAATGGAGCAGAGAGTGGTGGGAGGTGTCACTTCTGACAAAGGACAGCTCTTTCTAAACAGTCAGGGTAGACAGGAGGGACCAGATATATTTAAGAAGTTCCAATTTTTCTTTAAAAGATATGTTATTAAAAAGCTTTTAAGAAAAATTAAAATAACCTACATTTGAGGTGTGCTCCTGCAGTTTGAATCCTAATATTTGTGATTGATAAGGCTCTAAATCAGTTTGATTACCATATTCACAGTCTGTCATATGGGCCTTGTGTCCACTTTTTGATGAATTATATTACATTACAAAGGGATGACCAAGACAACTGCTAAAAAGTAACAAGGAGTCCCTAAATCACTGGACAACTGGTACTTGCCATTGCTCTCTAAACAGTTTCTGAATCCCATAGCAACAGCCCCAAAAGTATCTCTGAGTGGCCAATGACCACCCCCATCTAGAGGTGGGAACTGGGTACAAATCCAGCAATTGTTCTTATTAAGAACTGTGGACACTTTCTGGAATCATGGTTACCAATTGGGCAGACAACAGCCATGCAAAGAACAGTTTCAACCACGTCTGACCAAAATGGCCTACAACAATGGAATGGGAAAAAGAGGTGTGTGTTGGTAACTGACAAAAGCAGTGTCAGGAAAAGGGTTAACACACACACACCCTTTCTCCTACTCTATTTCAAGGTTGGACAAATCACAAATCAGCATTTTTCAGAGCTGCTGTGGATTCCAGACGTGGGTCCAAATCCTACCAGTGGCACCAGGGCACTAGTTACCAACCTTCCCTGGGAGCCAGTGGCTTTTCAAACTCTCATTTTTGTGACAAAGAAGCATTATCATCAAGAAAGCAAGCTTTGTGCCTCTTGTCATTAGAGGAGTGGGAGTTATGTTTAAGCAGACTATGTAAAACATTTGCATCCTTCATCCCAGTTCCTTTTGTGGAATTGAGATCGCACAATGAATTCCACTATTCTTCAATGTGGGAAGCAAATTCAGCTCCCTCGCAGTTTTTAAGGTGACAAGTTTGAGCATTTGACTAAAACTGAAGCAGGTTTGTGTGTACATTATGCCTGTCCTCTCCCTTTCTCACTTTTCTTCAGAGAAGGCAGCCACTTGGGTTGGCAGAGTCTTTTTAGGGGTGAATGGTAGCTGAAGGGGATGCATTGATTGTCTCGCCCTCCTGAACTGGCAGTCAGGTTCTTCTGTCCTGCTTTTCTTCAAGGAACCAACAAGCAGGTGTTCTGCTTCTTAATCCCAAAGGAATTTTGAAAAGACTGCCACAAGAGAGGGAGCCAAAGGAGACCCATGCTGTGGAGAATCTCTGCCTGGAGCAGCTTTGCAGTCAGCCGTGCTCTTCCTCTCTTCCCTTGAGCCACTCTCTAGAGTTTAACTGACCCACAGCCCATTTTTTTATAGTGACTTTGCTTCTGTCGGAGTTGTGCCTTCATACTCCAGCCCTGTCATCCTGCACAGGGCAAGTTTTGTGTTCCCAGTGATCCCTGTGAGAATTGGCAGATTTGTGGACTGGTAGTCTAAGGACAACTATCCCATTTGAATCTTAAGCTATAAGACTTTGTTAAGGACCAAAGGAGAAATGTTCAGAGATAATATATCAATTCTCTCTTATTTCATCTGTCTTTCACAATTCTTCAATAATTTTTTACTATCCTACAGTTGAGATCTCAGGTGTACATCAGGCCAGGCCATGCCAATAAATGTGCTCTTTTAAGGAGAATTATGGATCCTTATGGTGAAATGTAAGACAGATCTTTACCCAGGCCACCTCTGTGCTTTCTTGTCATGCAGAGGCTGGGGCCCACAGCAGAAATTGCCATGAAAGTAGATCATAGCCCATGGACTACAGCAGTACAGGTACTGACTGGCTGGCTGATATTTAATTCTGGTCAGAATATGTCACACTTTTGTTGTAGGGAGGGAATTAAAAGAATGGGAGCCAGAGTGGGGAAGGGAAAGAGCAATGAGTCATTCAAGTGACCCCATCTTTTTCCTGGATGCTTAACAAAAGCCCAGTATTAATAATAGATTGGCAGCTGTGATGATGAGATAACAGCTGCTTTGTACACCAAGAAAGGCAAGAGCAGCCCATGTGTAATGCTATCCAGGTGGCATTCTGTTCAGTGCTTATCTCTCAGAATGCCTGGCCGCCTGCGGCGCCGGCTGGGTGGCTGTGGGGTTCCACCAGTGTGTGTGCTGGCAGTGGCTGGCAGGAACAGCCTCAGGCAGCTGGCTGTGGTTCTGTTCAGGAAGTGGATTTATGCCAAGCTTCTGCAGCCGTGGAGGATATGCCAAAAATGTCTTGTTGTTACCCATATATTGCTGTATGCTTTTGGAAATATTTTACTCAAATCATACAGAAAAAGAGATCTCGTTTTCATTTCCCTGCAAGAAGTGCATCCATGAGGATGTGAGCTGAGGCCAGGGAATTCATTGTGTTGGTTGAGATGCAGCTCTACAGCAAAGAGAGGCAGGGAAGTAATAGACAGAACTTGAAGCTGTCTTCCAGCCCTACGGAAGGATGAATAAGAAGTGTTTTTGTGTTTAGGGAAGATCAAGTTACTTTGTGGGGTGTTTGGTGACTAGTAGGTGGCAGAAAGATGATCCAGGTATATCACATTAAGTCAAGACTCAGTAGCGTTCATTATAAATAATTTAGACAGTCTAGTCTGTGAGGATGGATTACAAAGATGTTTGTTTTCTGGAGAAGGAAGTAATTCCCCCAGCTTCTTACAGCTGCAGCTCCAAATGTGACCAGGAGGACTGGAACAAGGGAAACCACAGACCTACTTGGTGCCTGGGCATGCAGTAGTGAGGAACACTCTCCAAGCATCCCCTTTACCCTGCTGTGGTCCCCAGATACTTCTCTGAGATGCAGATAAATTCCCAAAGCCCCACATCACCCTAGTAGTGCCTGATCTGCACTCAGGGGTACTGTAGCAGCTGCCCCAGCCCACTGGGAATCTGCACAGGCTGAACGTTTACAATTTAATTTGAAAGAGAGCTTCTTTATTTACTCCTTGATTTTCACTACATGTGGCAGTGCCCGGTAGGAGAATTCTGCCTTCACATCCTGCATTTCCCTCTAAAATCTGTCATGACTTTTGCTGTGAAGAGCTTTGCTCAGCAGCCTGTGTAAAACCCCAAGCACAGAGAGGAGCCTGCAGCTCACAGGACACTGATTTGAGAAATGTTCAGGGTGGATCTTTGTGCAATGGTGTCTGTCGTGCTGTTTCTCACCTGCCAGGCCCACTGGAATTCAGAAGCAATCATCACTCGCTGTCCCACTTTAAGCCCATCTTCAGCTTTAGAATATCACTCTCCCTCCCAGCTAGCCTGGCCTCTAAAGGAATGAGGAATTAGTTCAAACATCTCCATTCTTAGCTGTCCCTCTCCCCTGTTCTTAACCCTGATGTGACCTATTTTCTTCCCATTCCCTTGACAAACAGGAATACTGTAGTTGGTACCTGAGCAGGCATTACTTACGACAAGCCTCCTGCCACCTCATGAGGAACCTGCTCCTCCACCGGTGGCCAGCACTTGCAGGCAGCATCATGGTCTTCTCCAGCGTGTCTTCACATCCAACAGGCAGCCTGGCCCACGGCCCCAGAGGGAGAAGGAATGACCTTGTAGCCTGCCTGCCAGGTCCTGTAGAGGGAAAGCAGAGCTGAGCAGATGACATTCACTTCCCTGGGTGCAGCGCACAGGGCTGAGCTCAGAGCTGTCCTTTCCCCTCCCCAGTTAGTGTTTTGCATTTGAGGCATCAGTTCTGTTTTGGAGGAGAAATGGAGGGTGTTCCAGGAGGCGCAGTGTGTTGAAGGCACAACATTTAATTCATTTTGAACCTCACGGTGCAGAAATAAAACCCGATTCACCTAAGTGCCAGAGAGAAGTTTGTGCTTGAATAGCCTGCTGTGGTGGCTACATTAGCTTCGTGCTCAGGGTTAACCTGACGAATTGCTAAGGTGACCCTGCCAGGGCAGCAGACTCCGGCTCATTCCTGTCGCCTCCACGCAGGCTGGTGCCACCTGTGCATCCTCTGCCTGACGCACGGCTCAGGCTCGCTGAGATCTGGGCACCAGCGGCTGCCAAGCTGCTTCTGTCCCCGCTCCTCCTCCCCCCCCTCCACCACACCCGTCCCCCCAGCCTCCCCTCCCCGTGCCGTATTCCCTACCAGCACTTCCTGTCTGTTTTAAGGTAAAATGGATGTGGTGGCTAGAGCAGCACAGCTTCAGCTTGGGGATTTCCCACTGCAGCAACTGCAGGAGCTGAAGAGCGAGCGAGCCTCGGAGGAGAAGGATAAGGAAGGACCTGAGGCGGGGGAGACTGAGTGGGAGTGTTGAAGAGAGAGGAATTGCATCTTAATTAGTAGAAGGAAAAATCCTCAGTCTAATTAGAAACCCAAAGACCATAAAACTCTCCCCTGACAGTAAGTGACTGACAACAGGTTTCAACTTCCCTCCCGCTTCCCTTTTGGATACAAGGAGGCAGGAAAAATGAAAACACCACAAATCCTTCTGTCCCCCTGTGTACTCTCTGACGTGCCACCCACAGTCACAGCAGCAGTTAGATGGACACATTTCAACCAGAGTACAGAAATAAGCCATCCTCCATCCCCTCTGAGGGGCTCTGACAACATCCACGGCAGCTATTTTAGCTGGGTGCTGCACTGCCACCAGGACACTGTCGCCACACACGTGCCAGGTGCCTACCCTCCCCCAGGCTCCCAGACTGATTTATTTTATATGGGGACGTAAACCACCAGGAAATATTAAAATTAGCATCTTGATGAAAATTACGAGCAGGTTCAGTACCTAGGCTAGCACATTTGCAAGGCTGTTTAGATCATTTACCTAAATGCCAATGCACCAAACACCTTTCATAGTACAGAAACCAATTCAGCCCTCATCCACTGCAGCCCCCCACTCCCCAAACTGAGCTGGAGCCCTTTCTCTGCAGTTCCCACTGAAGGAGAAGCTGCAACAAATAGCTGTCCCCATTTGGTGCTTGCGCTCGACCTGACTGAGGAGACTTTCAGCCTCCCCCATAGAAACGTCTCCATCCCAAATGCCCCCCCGAAGTCTCCTGTCCCCGCCTGTCCATATGGAAAAGGAGGATGAAAAGCTGCAGGCACTTACCTGGAGGGGTTCTGCCTGCAGCCACTTCCACCCGACTCCCCGGACACTGCCCAATTACAGCCTCTTCCTTCCCTCTGCCTCCTTGACTTTCCCTCCCCAGCAGCAGCTTTCCGTGTGCTCTATTTAACTCCCTACAGCACTGGAATAAACGGCAGAGTTAAGCTGACAGCCACAGAGCCTTATCTGCCTGCTGGATAGCGCCAGTCGATCAGCTCCAAATCCCGTTGCCAAATGATCACGTCCTTGCTCTCAGCATCAGGGGCAGCCGCCTGCCATGCTCTGCCTTTCCCTCTTCCCCACCTTCCCTCCATCTAACTTTGTCAGGGTTATAGATAGCTCTGTTCCTTGTGCTCTTGCCTTTTGGCTCTGTTTTGTAACACCCCGTCTGTATCAGCTGGCTTCGTTCCAATTAGGGGGGCTAAGCAATTAAAAAAAAAAAAAAAACCAAAAAAACAAAAAAAAGCAACAATGAAACCTTGGGTGCTCTGACACGGTTTCCCTCTCCAGTGTCCCCTCAGTCCAGGCCCCCACTCAGGCCATGCAGTGGTCTCTCCCACCGTGCTCTGTGCAATTCATCCAAGCTGTCCCCAAGAAATTGTGGGGGCCAAGGGCAGGGCTGGCACACCCGGGTGTGAGGATGGGGACAGGGTCAGGGTCCACCCCCGGCTCCTGCTCTGGCAGGGCAAGTCCAGCTCTTGCATTCATTTCTGGTACCTCACAGGCGCCTCTTTCCCTCAGGCAGCGCCAAGGCTCAAGCAGAGAGTGCAGGGTGGGAGGAGCAGCCATGTATAAATAAGCCTTTTCCCTATGTTTAGAATTTATTACAGTGCATAGTGATTAACACCTGTTCAGGCTTTAATGTCAGTCTCCTGCACTGCAACATGCACTGAGATGGAGGGGCCTTGATAAACCCAAGATTATTTTAAAGCATGTCACATATATGCCACACTCCCCACTCCATAGATAGCAGCCACCCTGTGTGCACTCATACACGTGTTTCCAAGACTTAAAAGCAGCTACCTTCATGTATAAATGCACAGTCACCAGCCTAGCTTACATTTACAAATGTGTGCACGGAGCTGGGCTTGCACATGTTCCAGGGACTCTTCTGTAACCCACATTTATTAACCTCCATGTCTCCCACAAAGCTGCCTGCTTCTCCAAGCACACCATATGCCCAGGTGGCAGAGCAGTAGATTTGGAATATGTAGAGGTTCTTGGCTGCCGAAAAGTGAGGGTCAATAAAATTTATACCTTGAAGAAGCATGTTCATGGAGAAATTTTAATTCCAAAGATTCAGAAAAAAAAAAAACAAAACCAGTTTCTCCTACGCATCTACTGCCCATAAGAACATTATACCCTTAGTGATTAATATTTCACAGTCAGGAGAGAGCAAGAGAGGATTTTTAAGAATTTCTTTTTTAAAGGTTTCCTCTGACTTGTCTTGAATTCTGACTTAATTAGTAGTTTTCTTGTGGCCCAAGAGATGCCTTCTGCTGTGCAGAGCATCAGGCCAACTGCACAACTGCTGCCAGAGCAGCACTGGGAATGTGTGATCTTGGGGCAAATAGCACCTGCCCACACCTCCAGCCTCTCCAAAGCAGCTCCAGATGTGTCTGGCTGCTTTCAGCCTGACAGCCTGGGATTTTTCCAGCAGCCAGCACTCTGCCAGACCCAGGAGTGCTCCCTGTATGTACATATCCCCATCTCAACAAGAGGGGCACCGTGCCATCTGTTCTGAGCTTGCCTGGCATTGCTTGGGTTTGGGGGCTCAAGGCTGGTCAGCATTGCTGGAGCTCTGAATGCTCTGAAGTCACCCAAGGGCTCCACAAACCAGGCATTTGTCTCTCTCATGGACTTTCTAGATGGTTCCTTCTCCCTAGAGCAGCATGTCAGCTGAATGCCCTGTTATCCATGGGGCACAGTGGCCAGAGCTTTCTTCCATGTGCTTGGAGTTGAATGTCTCTCCACATTCTTGAGAAAACGGGGTAGCCTGTGGGGCTGGTGATGGCCTTTTCCCATTGCTGTTTCAAATAGGACAGCAAAAGACAACTTTTTTAGTTTCAGCTCAAAGCAACAAAATGAAATCATCCGTTTCTGGCCCATGGGCTCCAGCGGCCAAAAATACACCCAGCTGAAGTGCCACTTGGACATTTGGCCTGCTGTCAGACTCTAGAGGACTCTCTAATGAGGATTCCCCTAATTAGATTGAACAGGGAACTGGGGGGTGCAGAGGGGATTGTAATGACTCCGCAGCACTTGCCAGGGCCTAAAAACTACAGCAGGCACTATTCCTGCCTTGTGCCTGCTCCTCTGTGCCCAGACACCAGTAATGTTTGCAATCACTCCAAAGCCCTGGCTTTTGTGGGGAGGCTCCCAAGGAGCATGCTAGAAGAGTGGGGAGGGTTTCAGTTTGCTGTACCCACATATTGGTGTAGTAACTCTTCCCAGTTCTGTGTCACCTTATCCAAAGCTTGCCATGTGCTCTATGAATGGCTCTCACCATAGCTGTCAGGTGGTGTTGTTTTGTGTTTAATGACCCCCAGAAGTAAGGCTGAGGTAAGAGCCAGTAGTGCTTCTGCTTTGGGTGAGTGGATAAATCTATCCCATTCTCCAGACAACAGCGCTGAGGGTAGAGACACAGGGGACTGTGTCACTGGGATGAGACACTGACAGGGACAGAGCCCAGCAACCTCTGTCTCTGATTATCTCTCCAAGTCCCTTGCACTAACCCTTGGATCATGGCTGAGGGATCAGACTCCGTTAACAGCTTGGCTTATGAGCACTGGCAGGGCATGTGGGTGACCTATATTACAGCAGGGTAGGTAGCAGAGACTGCAACAGATGCCAGCAATAAATTATCAGAAAGTATGCACAGACTTTCATCCCTCCCCCACACTCTCCTTCATGGCAAAGTCCCTTTCCCCTTTCCAGTGCTGAATTGCTTTAGCCTTTATCAGAAAAGCAGCAGCATGAGGGAGGGCATGGAGGACGCTTTAAGGAGATTATCTTCTTTCCTTCCCCTTTCCTTGTTGCTTTTAGGATTCATGTTTTATTGCCATCACCCCATAATGTGATGGACAGTGCTACCCCAGCATTTAGTGACTAACCCATGTTGTTCTGTGCATGTCCCTTCATCTGCCCTTGGTGGGGCAAGTGGCAGCAGAGACAATAATCTGTGTGGCTGACTACCACACCACAAGTGGCTTTAGATGGCATGGAGACCTCACCCATTCAGGTCCCCCAACAGACCTGGTAGTTGTGCAAATTTTCTATCCCAAGAGGTGACATTGTCTCAGTGGCAACCCCTCTTTGTTGTCTCTTTGGAATGCAAAAACACTCAGAGGTGGCAGAGAAGCTCAGCAATGCTGTAGAGACATCCAGTGTGTGTCACTGCTCCAGTGAGCTTCCAAGCTGAGGAGCTGGGGGCTTTATTTGCAGCACTTGCTGATGTATTAACACACGTGTTCAAGATTCATTAGTGTTGTGCCATCACAATCAATGGAAAGCACATTTTAAATTCATACAAGAAACCGAGCTGCAGAAGAAATAGTGCCCTCTGACTTGCAGTGATGAATCACAGCTAAGCAAAACACCTCATCCAGAAAGCTGTAAAGCAAGCAGAAAAAGTGTAAAACCCACTTGGTCTTGTAAAGGACTCTGCTACATTCCTGGCCTGATATGAATAGAAACCTCACTCTTTGTGATATGAAATGGTCAAAAAGCTTCTGATTTTTGGATTGGCAATGTAGGAACCTCTGAAATGCAAATATGTTGATGGTAAAAAATGTTTCCTCCCCAGGACCCTCCTGAAAGACCCTCAGGAAAGATCAACTTTATCCCTATTTTATAGAAGGGTAGACTGATGCAGGTAAAACTGGCTGCTGACTTTGGCTGGCCGAAATTTCAGCTGCCTTGCTTTTGATACCTCATCATTAGTCCACATCAATTCCCCACTCACTCAGGATTTTCAAAGCTGTCAAGTGCAGCATTTGCGCTTGGGGTTGTAGATGCTGTCCTCTCTTGCAGAGAGTATTTGTAGGCCTTATTAAAGGCCTTGTAACTTATCAAAGTTACATAGAATAAAAGATTTTTTGCCAGGTTTTCCCGAAGTTTCCTGACAGGCCTGTGGCAAAAACAGGAGAGAAGCCAGTTTTCTTGATTCCCCATTCCATACCTTAAGCAGAA